TCTCGATCGATCTTCCTGATTCGGTGTGAAAAAGCGACGGAACAACGAAAAATCCCGTGCAAATTCCAAGTCCGCTTCCAATCAATTTCCACGACTGCCGGTCATAAGATACTGTTACATTCCTCTGTCCGATAGAAGAAGAAGAAGAAAAAGAAGAAGAAGAAAAAAATCCAGAAAAAAATGACCGCTTTCTAGTTGACCGAACGGAAAAACCGTATGCAACCGAGCTAACATCGAAGGATCGTTCGCGGCTTTTTACTGGCAAATCATTTTCACAGGTTGACACGCCGGATTATTTTCTTACTGCAGTTGCAACGGTTGTTTTTCAACAACAACGTGCAACAGGCGAAGAAAAAAAAAACATCTCGTGAATCGATAGTAGGCGAACCGATTAATTACAAAGTCACTAGCGAATCGACAGCATCGAGGATCGCGTCCGAGAGAGCTGTGAATAACGCTTGTTCGTAAAGTGTAGCGCGGACCGTTCTTTTTCAATATTTCTTTGCACGTTTGTGCGGGATTGTGGTTGGAGAAACTCGCGAGCATAGGGACGAGTTGAATAATTAACGGGCTGTACACATTTCTTCGATCTCCTTTGTGGCCAAAGATCTTTCGTGTTTTATGCTTTTCAAAGGCAATTGTGCTTTTAATTTATATGAAAACTGCGTCGGATGATATACCTCTGTATAAACTTTCAAGTAAAAATAAAATAAAAGTTTCAATAAACTACCTCCTACTTCGTCATTTATTACAAAAATCTTGGACCATTCTATTTCCGTATAAATATCCCGTATAAATCCGTGAATATTCAAATAAAATATTCTAACTTGTATAAATTTTACTACGTACCAATTTTGATTTAACCGTTCGTAATTTTCTCCTATAAATCTCCGAACATTCAATTAGTGACAAATCTAATCCGAAAAAAAATAAATTAATAAACGAATTTTTAAAAAAATCAAATCACCCACAAATTCAAATTCTCATTTCGAATCGGACATTAAAAATTTCCTTTCCACGCGAGTCACCAAATCTTCAAGTATTCACAAACCAAAGACACTAAACTAAAAAGATTGAAAGATTGTCCCGACGAATTTGTCTCCTTCGCGAGTTGAAAAATACCAAAGCGAAAGAGCAGAGTGACCGCGGGGGAAAAACAGCGGCCTATCGGCTCCGATCGAGGAACATTTCACGGCGTTTCTGTCACGAGCACATCGTACGACATTAATTACAGAAACGGCGCAATCACTCATCTCTCGCGAAATGATGCAAAATAGCACGCGGAAACTCGCTGCATCGCGACGAATGTCCGGCGATTAACGGCTCGAAGTATCAGGTTCACTGCTACCGGCGCGATAATCTCGATATTAATCTTCGTCTTCGAAGACGTACAATGCCATTATTGTCTCGGCCAGCACGATAATTTGCAAATAGTAAAAACTGGACGGCACGAGTCGTCCCCGAGCTTTTTTTTTCTTTCTTTTCCTTTCTTTTTTTTTTTTTTTTTTTTCATCGGTACGCGACACTACGGAAAAGAAACCAAGGGGGTAAACGACCCCCGACGTCATTTCGCGAAACCATTGCGAGACCACGCGGGTCAAGCAAAGTTTCAAACAGATATTCTCAACGATGCGTAAATTTTATACCTTGTCTTTCTTGCTAATTCTTCTTCAATAAGGATCTCTCTTTGCTTTGTGAGAAAATAAATCAAGGATCGATTATGGTTTCCTGCGCTCGAAGGGAAGATAAAGTGATTTAAAGGAAGGTAAAAGTACGACAGTTTTGTAATTTGGAAGCTAAAATTAATCCTCTGCGACATAGTGTTACTTGAAAGTTACCAGTATTCACATGTGTTCAGATTTTAGAAATTTTATTCTATCAATATTTAAATTGTTTAAGTGTTCAATAGCGCAAACACTCGCTTATATATGTAACTTTCAAGTAAGAAATGATGACACGAGATTCTGCAATTTTTCAACCGATGAAACCTTCCTTGTTTCGTCTTTTAAGAAAATTACGTTTATTTGCAACCACTTGTCCTAACAGAGGAACCATTAACAGAGAACCAGTAACTACACCAGAAATAGAAGAATAAGAAGGATGAAATTAATTGAAGAATATAAGTCTAACGACGTCAAACGACGTTCGATAAAAAAAATTCGAAAGTAAATCCGAGTAAAATGGAACGAATTCTCCTTGAAGAGAGAGAAATATTATTCGCAAAGGAGTACGCTGATTTCGAGGTCTGCGTTTTGTTAAGCAGGACGTTAAAATAAATCAGCGCTTGATCAACGTTTGTATTAAAATTTATGCTCGAAGGGAGAACTGCAACTAAAAGCAAAGAACAGCTTCAATAAGCGGAATAAGAATTATTGACGCCGGAATAAACTACAACTGGAATTAGTTGGAAACTATAGTACTTCATCGAGTGGCGTGTAATTTCGATGATTTAAGAGCGACTTCGAAGCACACTCCAATTTAGAGAATGGCCATTGATTTTCTAATTGTGTTTGATTTACGCTGTATAACGCCTGCTACAAATAATCCCGTTTTCTGCGACGAAATGAATTTCTGCATCACTAAAAGCGTTGCCTTCCATTCATTTGGACATTTCACCGTTGTTCTATTGATCTCGGCGTTTTTTTTTTCCAGCTACAAAACGCTGTAATTTCCGCGTTCTCGCGTATCCAGACGGTTCTAATCAGAAATATCAGAAGATTTTAGACAAGTTTAGGACATTTTAAACAATTTCAAAGAATTTCGGAACCTTAAAAAATTTTTAGAAAATTCCAGAGAATTTTGAGAGCAAGAAACTTCTAGAAGAGTTCAAAATTATCTTGGAGAATTTTTAGAGAATTTCCAAGAACTTTGAGAATTTTAAAATAGTGGAGTTTAAAGTTTGCAGCAGAATTTAACTTTCAAATTAACTCTAAGATAGATTTCAACGTTCAAGTTAAAATTCGATGTGAAAAAATAACCAAAACTGAAAACTGATTGAAACACTAACTCTTTGAAATTATCCTGGGATTTTGATAAAAAGTGTCGTATACGCAGAAAATTTTTCAATAGGAACTTTATGTGTTTTGAAACTAAATTCTCAAAGTTCTCAAGAATTATCTAAAATTCTCCTCGAAAAGGAACGACAACACAAATCCAAAATTACTCCAAAAAAAAAAAAAAAACAGAATATTTAAATTAATAAAAACAAAAAAAAAACTATAGTGCAATATCTAAAGGAGGAATTTATCGATACAAGACCGAAGCATTCGCGTCGAAAATTCTTGGAGAACCAGCGCGAAACTATCCAGCTAGCTCGGACAAACGAAAGGATTTCCTTCGCGTATAAAAATTCATCTCTCTGCCCATCATTTCTTCGCAATTGCACAAGCACCTTGGTATGAGAATTCGCTACCAAGAAGCGATATTGCGTCCGGTAACGAGAAAAATGAAACGTAGAGATTCCGCGGCGATTCACAACGCTTGGCTCTTAATAAATCAACGTGGAATCGAATCTGTTTATACTGTTTATAAGCGAACAATGCCCGAGGAAAACCAAAAGCGAACGAATTCCCTTTCTCGGCGTGACGCGTCTGTTTTGGAACAAAGAATAAGTAAATCTAAGGTGAAACGAAATGGAAGTAAACAATGGATAGAGCGACTTTGACCATAAAGTAACTTTCCAAAGAAACACCAGTTGTGATGGAAAGTAATAGGTATATTAGAAGCCAGAGTTTACAAGAAATTATTGTTAATTCTGCTGCTCTCTTCACGTTCTATCTACTCGTATACTTTTTATAATATTTTATTTAAGAAACGAATGGAGTATAAAAAAATTAAAATAAAGAAACAATGAAACTGTATAAAAGATATAGTTGGCACATTTTATGATATTCATTTCAAGTCCTACGGGCTTTCAAAGAATGGCAGGATGATAAACTATCATGATAAACTATCAGTGATAAATTATAAGACCAATAATATTTAGATGTACACGTTACGACAAAAAAGAAAGTACGTGTACATCTATCATAATACCTAATGTCTATAATAGGAGTGAATATTTGTGTAGATTTTATAAAAGAAATACTTTATGAACTACTTTATGTAATAGAATTCGATTCAAACTTGTCAATTACCTCAAATTTTAATTATTTTATTTGCCAAGTTTGAAGTTTACAGTTGTACTAGAAATTTTTTTCTATATTTCATTTATTTCCTAGTTGTTATTAATCTAGTACATCTTTTAGTTAGTTTCCAGTTGATTTATCCATTGGTAAAATATTATATTTATGAAATTATTATCTCGTTCGTTCTTTTAAGCTTTCTTTCATCGGCTGTATCTGTATTGGAGCCATTAATAAATGAGATTAAATTTACTATGATCACAGGATAAAATATCAAAAGTGATATCAAATTAGAAATTTAAATTCTCTCTAATAATTTTCTAACAATTGGTATTTTGACTCTGACTGACTGAATAAAAAACAGGTACTCGAAAAAGTACGAACGTTATAAGAATTTCTTTGAGCCATTAAAAACCTTGCTCCAAAAGCGTCGCTGATAAAAACCAAGCAGACAAGTTAACTCATGAAACAAGAAAAGTTTAAAAAAAGCGTGTTTTATTCATAATCTTGTCATTATAACCTACAATTACACCGTCTCGATCAATTACATTCAATTTTAGTTTCTCTGCAAATCGCCAATCCTTTCAGCGTGGAATCAATTTATTCTATACAAATCAGAATTGCACTTATATATTGAAGATCTTACTTTATACAATATATAAAATTAGATCTTACTTGTTCGATTAAATAACTCTACGTAATTTCTAGAAAATTTTATTTCTAAAAATTTAACTTTTCATACTTCTAAGTATGGTATTACTACATTCTGAATTTAAAAAGTAATCTTCGTCTGAAATTCAACAAAAAGATTTTGCTGCGAATGTTTATTACCGATGTGCGATAATCTCCTATTATTGCAGATTAGAGATAAACATTCGAGAGAGGCTCTAATTTTCTAGGAAACGAGCAACATCAACGTCAACACGCGTCAGCACTTGCTTGAGCTTCATAACATACCATTACAATGAAACGTTAATCCTGGATTTCGCGTGTCGAAACTTGCTTTTAGTAAAAAGTAAACATAGCAAGCATAATCTTCTACGTATGAACAAAATCACGTGGAAAATTTATCTGAATCTATTCCTATTTCACATTAATTCAAAAGTAGATTTGATTTTATGAGCAAGTATATAGTTTTCGGTCGTACTCTATCAATCCTTTTGTTCATCTTCTTATAATAAATTATATAGAGAATAATAGTCGAAATACTGTATTTTATCCAAACAGAATATATTCAACATATTTCTGATGTTTTATATAACATTACAAAATTACAAGGTAGAGCCTCTCTTCTCTTAACGATTGAATATAATGATTATATTTCATTATATTCCTATAAAGCCAGAAATATTTTATAATTTAACTAATTTTAAGCTACAATTCAATATTTTTGTTGAATCCTTTATTAATCATAGAATAATCACAACTACACTGTACATGTTTTACTATTTTTATTCTGTTTCTCTGAAGGACCAATATTTTACAATTTAATCAATTTCAAACTATAATCAAAAACTTTTACAAAAATTATCGTCTGTTGGTGATATTTTCCATAATTCACTTTGCGTACTTTACTATTCTCATCTAGTTTCCACGAAAAAAACAATATTTTACAATTCAACCAATGTTAAAGTACGATCAAAAATTTCTATTTATAATAATATTAACCATAAAAGAAACTTGAATAAACTCTCTCAAATACAATCCTAACTCGATTGTACTTGAACTTGGCAATTAACTCTATATATAAATTTTATAACTTTCATCATAGTTTTCACGAGGAATCAATATCTTACTTCACCAATTACTCTAAAAAATTTCCGTTGAAACGCGGAATAAAGTCCTTCAAATAACAGAATAATTAATTCCACGCGTCAAGGGACGAGTCGCAAGAAATCAAAGGCGTTCTATCGTTGAAAACGACATTTAGAAGAAAGAATATATAGATAGACATTTGTCAAACTTACCTTACTCTGGACATAGTCGAGGGCCAGCATGCAATCCGAATATCCGGTCTCGGTCTTGATAGTGGTGCCGCCTTGGCCCGGCCCGGTAGAGCAGAATCCGGAACCCACAACTCCGACGGGTCCTCCGAGGCCGGCTGCCGCCGCCGCCGCGACGCTGTCCCGGTACCACGGATACATTTTTCACTAGAACACCGAATACAGTCACCTAATTGCGTATACGCGTCCGAGGACTCGATTCCACCCGACCCGAAATATTCGCTTGGCACCGTAGAATAGTCCCGAGGCGCCACGGTTCCTTCTTACGTCACTGCGAGCAATCGGTCGCACTTCCGGTACCGATTTTACTTCGCCAGAGCTTCCAGATCGGGTCCGACACAACCACGCGAATTCTCGTCGTCGTTGAGATATCTAATATCTATTGCTCCACCTTTTCGTCCAAACGAGAAACAAGGACAAACACACCTCACCCTCTCCTCTTTCGTTTGTTTCTGCTATTTCGTTAAGCACTGCGTTCCTTGTACTTGTCCTGCTCCTCTAGAAGCACGATATCGTTTCCGAGACACTTCTAATTACGAGAAGATTCACTGGGATTCGATGGGCAGTCCCGCGTCCCTTTTTCACGCATCTCGCTTCTCGTTTCGCACCTTTTTACGGGAACTAGAATTTTCGGAGACCCGACGCTTAACAGAGACACACACTGTGTTCCGATATATATATATATATATATATGGTATATATATATATATATGGTGTATATATATATATATATATATATACCACCGTGTATATCGTTCTGAGGAACGTAACTGACAATATATAACCGACGATCGGAGCGTATGTAATCCCGTATATATAATTCGAGATGGCGGTATGGCGTGCGTGTTACGACGTGAACAACCGAACTGAAACTATGGATAACTTCGCGCACGATATAAACACGCTGTGTCGGTTACAAACGGCGTCAAGGGTGAACCGCGCACTGGTCTAATGTTTTCGCTGTCTACCTGTCTCTCTCTCTCCTGCGTGGTCCGTGATTGGCTCGCGGCCTTCGATCGAGACTCTTACCAGCGATAACCGTTTACATTAAAAATAGTATCGTTCCTCGGTCGATGACTAGATTTATTCTGTATCCTACTTATGTGTCTCTCTTTCTTTTTCTCTCTCTCTCTCTCTCTCTTTCACATATATACACACGTACATGTATGCATTTCCCTTACGAAAAGTCTCGTAATCAAATTATTGCACTAATATTGGTCGATCGCGATATTCGTTATAATATTGCACTTGGGAGGAGGGGTGGGGAGAAAAAAACCGCACTTTTATTTACTGGTTAATCATACGCTGTCTTGCGCTCCAAGCTTCCTCAAGACGTTTCCGTCGTGGTGATCGGCTCCGTCGACAGCTGGACTCCGCTCCCCACTGTCATCGCACTTGTCCACAACGCGTCAACACCGACTGTCACTCTCGCGTTTGTAGGTTAGATGGACGCTCGCGCGGTACGATCAGGCACGGTACACACGCTCGCGGCACGTTCTTCCATGATCGCGTTTCCCCGAGTACCAGGAAGCGCAGGATAACTCACAGACGTTTCTTCAAATATCCTACCGGCTTTCCGCCGAAACGACAACCACCACCGAAACAACGGTCCACGTATCGAGGCTGGTTTGTCTCATGATAACTGGTACCTTGCCACCATTCGCCTGCACTAGATACTCGATAATCGTCTTGTTCTCGTCGATGACAATTGCTGTTCACGATGCACGTACTGGCTCACTACGCCGGTGATTCGAACGCCCAGTTCCACAGCAAGGATGGTGTCACAACCGCGGCCATCTTACCTCTGACGAAAGTGGCGGGAAAACGACGCTACCGGAAAAGCGGCCGACACTTTTCTTGCCAACTTCCGCTCACCGTCGATTGACAGGCCTTCCCTCGGCTGCTCAGGTGGCACACGTCTCTCCCTCTGGAAAACGGAGACGACCGTTGATCGTTCGTTCGTTTTTTCGTTTCTTTTTTTTGCCCGGACGTTGCGACGAGCGAAGAAAAAACAGATCCGGCGGGGCCCGGAAATTGTGAACCGTGGACCGCGGACGCGGTTGCAGCACTGACGCGGGAGTCGCAATTCGAACAACCGTTCGGCCGTGCTCGGTAGCGCTCGGCCGTCCTCGGCTCTGCCCCTCGCGATACATCGCAGCTTGCTCGTGCTGCGCGGCTCGGAGTGGGGGTAACGAGCCACCACGGAGGGATTAGGAGGCAGGGTGGGGGAACAGGCGGGTTTCCTCTCTCTCTTATTAACCCCTTCTCTTTCCTAATACCTCCTTCCTTGTCCCTCCCGTTGCTGAATATATTATTATTCAAATATTCGTTTTAATATTGCTACTGGAATTATTATTTTTTTTTTTTTTTTTGCTTATAATTGAAAATGCCTTAAAAGAAGATAGTAAAAACAAGATGTAATAACAAAACCTTGAAATTACACAAAATGGAGTATTCGACCATGAAGCGTTTTATAATAAGAAACTATTTTGTCAAAAAAATGGTAATTTATCAGTATATAATTTTTTTTCCCACGTCATAATAAAATTTCTAATTTGTATGGACCATTACAATGACCATAATAGGTTAAATTACTTAATTTTGAAGTATTTAATTTCATTGAATTTTGCTACCAATTTTTATCGAGGAGAATACAAAATACAAAAAAATACAAAATAAAATTGAATAATCAATTATTACATTGACCTATGATCTAGCGTTATTATCTATTCGAGGATTAATAAATAATAAACATATGTAGTAACATTAACTGCAAAGAAGTCTGAGAATGAGTCACTTATTTCCCTTTCACAAAAGCAACAAAAAACAAATATTTCTTTAAAAAAGAGCTACATTTTTTGCCACAACGGTTCTAAGTAATCCATGCAATAAAATCAACTTAATATTACTAAGAGATACACAGTCGTAAAAATGTCAAAAATTCATAAAGCACGAACCCCTTGCATGCCTAATTAATTAATTAATTAACCGATGCACGCTGATGGAACGTGAACAACGCGTTTTTATTGTAAGCCAAGATAAAGAATTTCACTGGAGTGTGTAAACAAGATGATAAGAATATAATTCGATGAAAGACAGAAGAACTTCTTGAATGAAGAATAAGAAGACTAGACCCTAACCTCCTACAACTTAATTTCACACTGGTGCAACGCTTCAAGGAATAGATTGGAAAAGGTCACGAGCATCACGAGGCATCATGCAAAAAGCCGCCCCTGAAACGGTCCACGAATTCCTGGGGAATTTCTTCGTTGCCAGAGAAAAAACAGTCCCTAGGATAAAAAGTCACCCCAGCGAGACGAGGGGTCGGTGAACGTCTACACAGAAGTATCTCTTGAATCAATCTGTTCTTATTTGCCTGGCACTTGTCGCTCTTCAAATTATGCGTGACACCAACTGTTTGGGAATGTTTAACAAATGAACGTACAGATAACGAAATTTCGAGTAACAATTTTTTAATAGATGGACATACTAGAAAAATCATAGTTCGTTGAAAATCCTTTGATTAATTCTAGGCAATTTTTTAAATTATTGGCGTGCATAATCCATCGATCAATTTGAAGCATTGTAGTTATTTCTTGTTAATTTAATTTAATAAGAATTAATAAAAGAGAAGTCGGTTATTAATAACAATAAACAATCGTTTTCGTTCAGGAAAATTAGTATAGAAATTTTTAACAATGGAGTAAGAATTATGGCACAATACTCTGATATCAAAAGTGAAAGAAATGGTAAATGTTATGTATGTGATTTAGGAAAGTGTCTATGCTTTCATGCAGTTACATCTTTAAGCAGAGCTTCCAAGTTTTGGAGTTTAAGCAGTATTCAGGTCGTCCGTCTGTAAAAAGATACCCTGGAGGAAGCATCGTCATCGACCCCTACGGCATGGTCCAAAAAAGAGCTATAACCACAAATCTTATAGCCAAGGGTGGAGACAATTCAGAAGGGGGTTGATGGTCACGGTTACAGGGTCACCAGACTCAAGACGTTCCACTTTCTTAAATGTCTAGTAGTTAATAGCCTAGTAGTTCTGTAGGTCAGTTCTCCAACAATTCCAGAATTATTTTCATCACTTTCGAAGGAAACAAGGAATGATTTTTCTTACGTTATATCCCTTATTTCTTTCAAGAAACTTGAGGGATCTCTGTATTATAAATCTTTGAAGAATTGGTGACGATTTCGAAATTAAATTTCTGTCTTTCCCGAAGACTTTGAAAAAAATAAAAAATTTTACTTGTCTCAAGTTTCAAATGTCATTGCAACTAACTTCCAAATTTTGAAATTGGTGACATAAACTATAATAAACGACAATGTCGATAACAATGTACAAACAGATTGTCAATCCTTCAGTGAGTAGTCCAAGAAAAATCCAGGAACATTGTCAAAAAGAATATTATGATTTTTATACTTTAAACTTCACTCAGTGATACTGACAAAAAATTAAAACGACATATTTTTCATATCTAATATCAGAAATGCAGACAATGTTGTTGATTATTTTCCAAGTTTCATTCATTCTATGTCACTTTGACACACAATTAAAGGATTAAAAGCAAACGTGACGCTGATAATACAATGCTAGAAAATTATCTCCTGACTAAAAGAAAGGAGAAAAACTACTAAATGTGACATTTCCAAATACCAAAACGTCCACAGAGATACCGAGCATCATTAAAGTTAATCACCGATGACAATCCAAACGAAGATCGTTGACTCCTGAAGAAGAAACGAGAACTCATCCAAGAAGCCCAGTCGGATTCCCCAATTTCCCGACGCGACGTTGCAACGCGAGGGAACGCCGACCTTGAAGCATCCGTCTACCCTCTATTTAACCGCTTCCTAGTTTCTTTCGCCGGATGGAAAGGACCTAGGCGAAGCCATGCACGTCTTCGACTCCCGCGGCGTGCTCCAAAAACAAGCTATAACCACAAATCTTATCGCCCGGGGTCGCGGAGCGAAGTAGAAGAAGGCGCTAGAGGGTGGCTGGTTAGGTTCAAGGGGGAGTTCGTCCCACCTTCTCTGCTACCTAACAAGTAGCCTGTAAGAAGAGCCGTTTCGCCCGGTGATTCGTGCTCGTGGAGCTGCCGGCGGCGTCGTAGCTGCCCGAAGGAAAAACTGCGACACGGTTTTTCGGCCAACGAGAGAGAGACTCTCCCCCGAAGTTCAAGGCCATCCTCCGAAGAAAAGAGAGAGAGAGAGAGAGAGAGAGAGAGAGAGAGAGAGACAGGGAGAGCGAGGGCAGCGCCTTTTTTGTTTTCGCCCTCTGGCTTCGACTACGAGAGAAAGAGAATGACCGACAGACCGACAGACCCAGCTGGCTGTTGCCCTCCGAGTCTAGCTTGAGCTGTTAGACGATTTTTTTTTTATTTAAATAAACTGTGCTGGAGTTTATTATTCTTCAAGATGTAATGAGGAAGCAAGAAAAGATGGAATGTCAACGTTCGGGTGTTTAAAATATTTTTGACGAACGTCACAAATCTGAGAATTTAGGTAGGATCGAACTCTGTTGTCGTTCGTGAACAAGTTTCGATAAGTTTCCACAATTCTAGCTATTTCTCTAATTCTTGAAAGTTTGTACCAACGAGATATTTTTATTTCTCCTCTAGTTTCTTTTAACGTTGTTTCTTTCGTATTTTAAATCCTACTTTTCTAACTAAACGTCCTTCTGAAATGAAGAAATTTCTTCTACCTAATCTAAAAAGTTTCATCGGAAAGAAGCCCGTAGTAAGTTCGTCGTTAGAGTTAATTTTGAATGATTCAAGGCGATTGCTTGATGATACTGATGGTCCATCTTGAATAGTCTTACCTTAATAAAGTCCTACTGGAAGGCAGAAAGAAACATGCACAAATAGAAAATTCAGATCACAATCAACAAACTTGAAACCGGTAATTACTGATGATCACTGAGTTACCAATCACTCTCGGTTTTGTCTAAGAAATAGCAGTTGGTAACACGAGATCAGTTTCGACAATTGTAGAAAAGTCAAAAATATAAAAATTGGATTTAATCGCCATCAAACCTTACAAGTTTTTTGATTACTCGTCATCCAAAAAAATTGAATGAAATGGAGCATATCATAAACACCACCTTCTAATTGACAAATGTTCTTACTCATTCGTTCATTTCTTACTCATTCATGTAACAAACGCCTACAATTCTAAGCCTTGAAAGGTACGAAAAAATAAATTCTAAACACGGAATTAACAGAACCTCTTCCAAGAAAATAATCTTCTTATAAACTGAAAATGGACAGAGCCGCAATTTCGTCGATTTCAACCGATTACAAAAAGAAAAAGGACCGAAAATCAACTTTTGAAACACTGGCAGATTAACAAACCTGGAGAAAATGATAAAATATCGGAGATGTTTACAGCGTTCCATGGGATAATCAAAGATTCGCATTCAGCTCGCGAAATGGGTGCTCGAAAAAATCCAAACAGAGACGAACGCTAGGAAGCGTCGGCATTGATCGTGCAAGCTGGCCCAAGATCGCGGCCATCTTCTTCCTGCCGGTTTTCACTGGCCAATCGACCGGGCGAACAGGGCGAAATTTGAAAAATCCTGGGACGAATCGTCCGAATGGTGCTCGTTGGTCGTTCCTTCGTCGGCCATGTTGCTGGCGAACGGGGGGAGAAGAGTGAAAGAGGGGGGCAAGAGGGCAAAAGAGGAGGCCGGCCAAGTAACAAGAAATCTTGAAACAGAGCAAAAGGGTGGAGACGGAGATTAATGAGAAACGAATCCGGACGAGAAAGGAGAGAGGCGAAGAGAGAACTGGACGAGTACTGAAGATCGAGGAGCAGCCTTCGAACCTGATCCTCGAAAAGGGCTCGCCATGTTGCGAAGGAAATAGACGATTTTCTCGTACCATTGCACTGCCCCAGGTCAGGGTTAAACTCTCCTTTTCCTTCCCGCTTTCCCAGACGTTATCTGAAAGTCGAAAATATAATTATAGAATTTTTTTCTAATGATCCTTCATGTGGATCATTGCTCCGAAACAAACGACATTCGTACGTCGTACTGAATCCTCTATAACCT